TTGAAATAGCATACTTGTCTATGGAAAAAATGTGAGTCTGTGAAAATTTATGTAGGGGGAATAGCATGTCCAATCATGCATCACCTCATTTTTTGCCTACGCCACTTTTGACTAATCTCTATGTGTCTAGCAAAATGTTGATAGTTGTATACAGCAAACCATTTCTTTTAAAAGTAAGAAAATTTGAAAAATAAGCAAATGTTAAACACAGGAAGAATGTATTTACACAAAGAAAGACGCATCCGAATGTATTTTTTGTAAATTGTTGATTCATGCAACACAGTGAGATTTTAAAATTATAATTTGATCTTGTTTATCTAGCAGTCTTAAGGTTTACTTTTATTGCATCCTTTACTGTTGTATCTACAGTGTTTTTATTGATCATAAGTAATTATAATTGCGTGCAGTTGATGTTTGACATGTATTTATAATTTACAATGGTTTATTCAATAACAAAGGTTTTTTATAATATGAACTGACTTATGCAAGAATATACATGTATGGAATTTTTGATTAATGAAGGGAAAAAATCCATTCACAGTTTCGAAAATTGTGTCTTAATCATTAGAAATTAAATCCTGTCTTTGATAAGTAATTCTCTATTCCTGAAATGAAACTTGTGAAACTTTATAAGATTTAGCAGAAGTATTTTGGAATTTGACTAATCTCAATGTTATCATGTACTCTGCATGAGGTTCTTATTTATGTATTTTTATTTCTATAACAATTGTTTTTAGTCAGTGATGTATACTTAGTTATATAACTAGAATGTTCTACACAGATGTCATTAATGTATTTTAATACTGTTTGTTGAAGGAGATCCTGACTCACTCTTCATCTTCGTTCGTTATTCAAATGTGTTTATGTGACAAAACTCACAAGGATAAAAAATTGATGTTACAATAAGGTATCAACTTTCATCGCCCTTTTTAATCTGATATTTCTGTGGTCGCGTTGTTTATATTAAATCTCTCATCCGTTTGTTGAGTATGTGACATGTAAAGAAGTAGAGCAAGCATAATTTTGTCAAAAATTACTTTCGACAAGTTAACTTCGTTTTAGAAATAAGACTTTATATATGACGAACGTGTGATCTATATAAAGTCTTATTTCTAAAACGAAGTTAACTTGTCGAAAGTAATTTTTGATTAACGAAGTGGAAAAATCCATTTAAAATTTCAAAAATCGTGTCTTAATCATTGGCATTCAAATCCTGTCTTAGATAGGTGATCCTCTATTCCTGAGTTAAAACTTGTGAAACTTTATAAGATTTAGCAGTAGTCCTTTGGAATTTGACTAATCTTAATGTCATTATGTACTCTGCATGAGGTTCTTATTTATGTATTTTTATTTCTACAACAAATGTTTTTAGTCAGTGATGTATACTTAGTTATAGAATAATATTGTTTGTTGAAGGAGATCCTGACTCACTCTTCATCTTTGTTCGTTATTTAAATGTGTTTATGTAACAAAACTCACATGGATAAAAAGTTGATATTTCAATAATGTATGAATTATGATCACCGTTTTTAACTAATATGTATGTAGTCGCGTTTTTTATATTAAATTTCTCATCTTTTGTTAGGTACGTAACATGTAAAGAACTAAAGCAAGCATAATTTTGTCCTCATGATCGTCGTATATGAAGTCTTATTTCTAAAACAAAGGTAATTTTACGTAAGTTAACCGAGATTTTGTATTTACATTTCTAACTTAACAATTTGATACCGAAGCAATGCGTAGTATGAAGTATAAATGTAAAAAAATTAGGAAATTGAACGAGACTTACCTGAAGTTTAAGTTCGATTGCGATTCTGATAACATCTACAGAGCAGAGATAACACGATACATACTACGCATGCGCACATTGGTCATATTTCAAAGATAGTAGCCACATGAACCGCCTAAATGTGCATATGAACGATATGCAGGAAGGCAGTAACATGATGGGTGGGCGTATAATCTCTGCTCTGTAGATGCTAATAGAATCCCAATCGAACTTCAACTTCAGGTAAGTCTCGTTCAATTTCTTAATTCTATTAGCATCTACCGCAGAGATCCCACGAGATTTGAAAGTCATGTGGACACAATTCATGCCTACACGCAAATACGACATTAAGTTATAAACTTATTTTAATTGGAGATGTGTCAAACATACACAGAAATAATAACAAACATGAATTTAAAGTATTTCCATCTCTTGCACAATACATGCAAGTATATGTGTTGTGAACTCCCTGCCAAGTTCAACTAAAGAGAATTCTCATCCAATATCCTTCTTATTGGGACGCTAAAAGAATGGCATTCCCAAACTCCGCATCGCGACATTGAGACACAACGTTCTTATTGTAAAACCGATGAAAACAGGCAATCAGTCTTCCAACTTGCAGCTTTCAGTATAGAGTTTATCGAAACATCACATTGCTTTGCTTTACTGGTGGCTGCGGCTCGTGTACTATGTGGTTTGAACGTTTCTATATCAATTTCTTCAGCTTGCATGACAACCTTTATCCAACGAGATATAGATGACTTTGATACTTTATGAAAAGGTCGAATTGTGCTAAGAAATAGTTGATTTTCCTGACCCCGAATGGGAGCAGTGCGTTTAATATATTCTTCCATGACTGAGGCAACACATAGTCGGTGATCGGCAGGGAACTTTGGTATCACTAAAGTAGGTTGAATGCGTGTTGGTCCAGACTGTTAGACAAGTTGGTCGATATGGAAGGTGTATAAGTCCTCTTCCTTCTTTACAGTTTAGAGGTTCATGAGGTGGAGTGATTGGGCACGCTGCCCTGTGACTAGTGCACAAAGCATTACCAACTTCTGAGTTAGCTGTTGTAGGGTTAAGTCTTCTTCTGCGGTATATGTCTTTAAATACTCTAATACAATGGAGGTGTCACAGGTCACTTGATATCATGGTAGTGCTGGTCTAGAATGGAACACTCCCTTCATATATCTCTGAACCATATAATGTGTACAAATTGTAGAATTCCTTTAGTAATAACTAATGAAAAAGTCTAGAACTACCTGTAAAGTTGGATGAAGGGGATCTTCATTCCGTTTATTAGCATAGAGTTACCACTTGTTAAGTACACCTGATATTGTTTTTGTGTTCCTGGCCGCCAGGAATAAAGTATTGTTGCTTGAACCTGTGGTGAAATGTCCTTACTTGAGAGTGATCTCCGGATAAGAGACAAGCTATCAGTCTCAGTCTTCCTTTGAGTAGATGTTCTTTTGTTTCATTGGATGGTAAGCTCACGTTGCTTTTGTTTTTGGGTAGGAGAATGGGTCGGTGAATTATTAATCTTGCCAGCATCAGATACCAGGATTGAGTTGGCCAATTCAGCACGATGAGAATTGTCCGTGCCTGGGCCATTTCTACTTTTTGTAAGACTTGTGATATAGCACTAAAGGGTGGAAAAGCAAAAAGAAAGAATTTACTGCAATCAATGCAAAAAGCGTCAACATCCCACCCCTGTGGATCTGGGTTCCACGAGACATAGGGTTTAAGTTGATAGTTTAGTCTAGAAGCAAACATCTTAACTTCTGGGGTCCCAAAATATTATGTTATTTCAGGTAATAATTGAGTATCAAGCTTCCATTCTTTGGAAACATCAAATGTTGTGGAAGCTTTTTCAGCCACCACATTAAGTTTCCCAGGGATATAGCTGACAGTTAACCATATGTCCCTGATTTCCCTTGCAATTTTATTGCAATGGTGAGAGTGGTAGCCCCCCATGTGGTTAATATATGCAAGCGCCGTGGTATTATCGGTCCTTACTTTATCGTGGGTGTGGGCTAGATCTTAATAGAGGCGTCCGTATACAATACGTGGTCAAACATGCCATGATTCAGATTTTTTTTTGGACTCATATGCATTATTAATCCACCAAGATAAGTCCTCCAGCGCCGAAGGAGAGAGTTTCAATGTCGAATCAAAGTTACCCCTGTTAGACTTAAGGGCTGTTTTTTTGTCCCTATCAAGATCACGATAAAACAGTGGGCCATATTCAACGCCAGGGAAACCAGCTACCATCATACCAATTAGCTTGGCCACTTCCCGTATGCTAGGAGAGTCAGATTTTAGCACCCCCTGGCAATGTCGCATAATTTGTTGTGTTTCTCTATTGATATAGAGATAGTCATATCTATTAAATTTAACACAAATCCTAAATGTTGTAAAATGTGTGTGAGTTCTGTAACAGATTTATCATTTAAGGGTAGAAATCCTAACTTCTGAAACAATTGTAGAGTGGCATGTACGTTTTGCGCGCATTCTGAACAGGAGTAAGCCATTAAAAAAGAGTCATCAATGTAACCGCTAGAAATGTGCCCAAGCTCCCTCAGCTTAGAGTATACAAGGCTTGAGTACCTTTGTAAATAAACGTGGAGCGGAAGATAATCCTTAAGCAAGGCATGTGAATCGGTACAGATTACCTTTCCACATAAATTTTAAGTATTTTTGATGCTCTATGTGTATTGGTATTGAGTAATAGGCATCTCTAAGGTCAACGGATGCCATGTAGCACCCAGGTCGCATGAGCAGAGTACAAGTATGGATAGATTTCATTTTAAAGTGGTGATATGTTACAAATGTGTTGAGCTCTTTTAGGTTTAATATCATTTTAAAAGATCCATCTTTCTTTGGTCTAAGAAAGATATTGGAGATAAACTCGCCCTGTTCATGCATGCTTGTAACAATGATACCTTTCTCTAGAAATTTTGTAACATGACGATCGACATTTTGAACTTCCGACGGAGACATTTTTATAGAGTGGGGTTGTTTCAACTGTACTGGGTCTATTAGAAAATCAGTCTTGTATTCGCTTACAGCTGATAAAATGGAAGGATCGTGAGTTAGCTCCCTCCACTTGCCAATAAATTGTTGTATCCGGCCTGCAACTCTACTACAAACATTGTCTCCCCCAGATATGATAGAAGTACTACACCCACGTTTACTAAAACTTACATGACCGAGAATAGGAGTCACTGCTTTCTTAGTGTTTTTTTCCCTGTCTCGACTTTCCTCTTGGGTTGGTTTTAATAATAGTTGCGTCGTTGGGGTCGGTTTTGTAAATGACCGCCCCAACGTTGGAATAAAAAAGGCGCATTGGAATTATATGAGCTGAATTATATGACCGTTGATCGTTGCGTTTCCGTTTTTGGCTTGTCAGCTGCTGTGCAGCCTTTTTGCTTTCTTTTACTGTTTTCAGGCGTTCCTTTAAATCATCACCAAACAGTTCTGCAGCAACAGGTTCTTTGTTACTACAGATGGCCTTGTAATTTTCATCAAGGTCAACTTTGAACAAGTCCCTGCGGCACATGTTCAGATCATGATTAGCTGAAGCGAGAAGCACAATAGATTTGGACAGCCCATCCCTGATAACCTCTGGTGTCGGTGCAGGTGCTGTAGGGTTTGTTCCAAGAGAGATACTAATCGATCCCGCAATTTGGGAAATCGGAATGAGGCCTTGTATTAAGGCTTCTTGTAATTTTTGTAGACGTGCATCCATGCTACGTGTGGATTTCCTAGCAATGTCCCAAATTTCTGGGTTCACCTTTGTAACTCTTAACAAATCACAGTTTTTGGGGCGTTTTACCCCTTCCTTCCGTTTTGATAATGTTAGTTCGTTTAGTTCAGTGAACAAAATGCTGGTCAAGATTTTAGAAATTTTAGTTGGCAATGGTTGGTCTGTCGGTTCATTGTCAGTCACTTCGTAAATCAGCTCATCTACCAAAGCATCGCTTTGGTTTGCTAGAGCTGAAGCTGTATCTTCAACTACAGCAGCAGCCCCGATGGTTGAGTGTTCGTCATCAGTTTCACCTTCAGACATAACATCACCATCGTTCCTTTGGCGTGCAGCATCATAAGCTTGCTTGAGTTCTTTTACGACAGGAGCAAAAGTATTCATCAAGCAAGTAAGTTGATCGAATTTCCTGTTAAGGTCGTCCAAAGTGGTTCTCCCGTCATTTCCTTCTTCTAGGCGATTGTTGTTGTTGGCTTTAGCAGGGTGTTTATACCCGGCACCGCCAGATTTGCTCATTTTCCCTTGTAGACGAGACCGTTTCTGTTACGGTTCATCGTCTACATTCACGTCTCCTAATAAGCCCAACAGCGTCGGATTAGGATGGTTATGCAAGAGCGTCAGGTCGTCGGCTTGCTCAATTGCTTCGCTGACTTGTGCCATATGTTGTTGAATAGAGTTGGCCGCGCAAACTCAGTGGTTATGTAGGTGTTTTGTCCTGTATTGTTTTCTGAAACTTTTTTGTCGTTCTACACTGCAGGATGGCAAATTATTTTATGGAATATTCGTATATGACCAAACACGCCATCTGTAATGGCGGTGAGCAAGATAGAGAATGACCAATGTGCGCATGCGTAGTATTTCTCGTGGTATCTCTGCGGTAGCTGCTAATAGAATCAATGTTTATTTCCATTCTTAATAAAAATCGCTTGAATGATTCTATAAGTGACTTTTAAAGCTATTATTAATACCACGACTGGAAAGTAGGTTTCATTTTTTGTTTCAAATTATCCACTAAAAAAACTGCGGCTCTTACACGAAGAAAAGGTTTGATAATAAATAATTCTGAGTCAGTGATGCGCGTGATATTCACAAAAGCCATGTCATAATGTGACAGTTCTTTTTAGATATAATTAAACTTAAGTAAACAGTACAATGTACAAATGTAAAGTAAAGATTAGGTTCCAAGGGTCAAAATAAACTCATGATAACGTATATATTTCATCATCAATCATTATTTTTTAATATAATTACACTTTAGTAAACAGTACAATGTACAAATGTAAAGTAAAGATTAGGTTCCAGTGGTCAAAATGAACGCCAGATAACGTACATATTTTATCATCATTCATTTTGAACGTAATTTATTCATAGATGAACTTTGATTTAGCATGTACACTGAGAAACTGAAATCAAGATACTTGTTTTGTTTTCCAACGTGTCTAACTGTTTTAGTTACTTGATTTAAATCGTGTAACAACACAAACTCAAGAAATTTCACTGACTGTCAGGCCAGGCCCGCAGTGAGGTGATAGGAAAGGGGGCATTTTGCCTTGGGCCTGTAATATAATAGGGGCTCTCCATTTGGACACATGAAAATTGCAAAATTGGAGTTTATAAAAAAAGTAATGAATGATTTGTGTATTATTTGTACTTTTCTTAAGTTATCTCATCATGCAGAGGACATTCATCAATTGTTAAGTTTTTTCAAATTCTCGTAGCATATTCAAACGGAATCACCCTTTAAGTGTTATCAATATGAGCAGACATGTGGCTAGGATTTAAAATTTGGGGAATCAATAACAGTTTTTTGGGGGGGGGAGCTGTTTTAGACGTCAAATTATACTGTACTATAACAATAATATAATTTATCACTATTTACTTTTTTGGGTAGTCGCTGTGCATGCGCCGCTAACCACTATGCCACACTGAAAAAGAGTCGCAGTGAGGCAGGCAGTGTTTGTTCGTCGTGATATCCTCGTCTATGTCATCGGTGATGATCGCATATGCGAACGATCACGAACAGAATTGTTTTAAGTAAAGTCAATACGTATGTTGTTCTTCAAATACCTATGCTTTAGAGCGTATAATCTGCACTTTGTTTTAGTGACTATAGTCAAAACCTTGCAGCTGAAAATATCATTCATTTATACTCTTTACTGGTTATTATAGACGTTAAATATAACCTATAGGGGACTACTGCAGCTTAGCGGACGCTAAGGACGCGGACCCAAACATACTCTACAATCTCAAGCAAAAACGAGCCCGCGGTTCTAAGCGCTTCGGGTGTCCGCTAAACTGCAGTCTAGCAAAAATTGAAATTGGAACAAAATCATTAGCAATATAGTCCTATCAAAATGTTACTAAGCAAATATTCATACAACACAGCAAACCAGTTTGATGTATCCTGTTAAAAGAACGACGTATCTCTTCACCACACGATTGTTAGACAAATAAGATATATTATTTATCAACTAGGAGTTACTATCGCAAGGTAAATGCTGCCTCTCACACCGAGCAGGCAAAAATATTATGATTTTTTGTGTTTTTTCATTATATCAAGTCTACTATTTTAATGCCTTGATGTAAGATCATTTACTGGGTCATGTCACTAGGCAGTGAACACAATTTTTATCGAGAGAAAGAAATGAAGCACACAAGTCTTTATAAATGACTTGTAGTACTACTTTTAATTCATCCAGAGATTTGCCAGGCGGAAATCGAATCTTCAATATGAGCATAATAGCACAACATAAGACTTTTAAAAAAGCCATCACAACAATTAAATAGAGAAGGATTTATTGTTAACGTTTCGTCTTTAACTTAAGACATCTTCAGATTATTTGAGTTAATTTATATACACGAGGTTTTAATGCTTGTATTTAAAACCTCGTGTATATAAATTAAGTCAAATAATCTAAAGATGTCTTAAGTTAAAGACGAAACGTTATTAATAAATCCTTCTCTATTTTATTATTGTGATGGCTTTTTTAAAAGTCTTATGTTGAGCTATTATGTTCATATTTTAATTCATCCTTTTAACTTTAGTGAACATTTTGTACATTTCAAATTGTCCCTTTTTCACAATCTTATTCCTCATTTCTAGAATAAAAAATGGCTTCGCCACATAAAAACTTAAAGATTGAGGAAAATTTTACTCGTTTGAGTAAACTTTTAATCAATAAAGGAACCCAGGCCTTAAAAACAACATTGCAATCTTTATTAAAGCCATCAAGTTTAGCTGGCAAACTTAAAGATCCCTCTACAAAGAAGACACTAAAATCTTTAAAATTTAATGTCATCAAGAATGAGCAATGGGATCTTCTTTACCCGTCAGTTGGTGACCCTGACATTGAAAACTTTGACATCACATTATTGACTGTCTTATTGCGAAATATATGTGGTCTAACAGCGCCACATGATGGATGGAATAAACTTTCTTCCTCTTCAGATACTTCAATCTCAGCAAATATTGCAAGAATAAAGTTTTATCGAAACAAAGTGTACGGTCACATAACTACAACTAGTGTAAATGACAATGAGTTTGAGCATTTGTGGCAGGAAATCTCAAAAGCATTGGTTGGTCTGGGTATTCAACAAACTGAAATAGATGAAGTGAAGAAATCTCCCCTCAGTCGCGATGAGGCAAAATATTTTGAAATGTTGAAAGAATGGTATAAAAAAGAAAAGCAGTTAATCGATGTCACTGAAAAAATCAAAGAAGATGTGAATGTAATGAATAGAAATGTTGTACAGATAAAGCAAATGTTGCAAGGCAAAACATATTCAGATGTCGAAAAGCTTGGAAGGTGTAATTTCAACGGTCTTAAAAAAGATCTTTACAAGAAATACCTTGAAGGCACTAGACAATGGTTATTTGAAAAATTCAACACTTGGTTTAACGATAAAAGTGAAGATGCTTCTAATGTCATGATTTTGATTGCCGGTCCTGGCGTTGGTAAAAGTGTGTTTGCTGCTGAGGTGTGTCGACGATATTCTAAAAAGGACAAACTTGCTGCTTCTCATTTCTGCAGATATAATATATCAAATTATAGAAATCCTCAAATATTGATAGAATCATTGGCTAGTAGCTTGTGTGATACAATACCAAATTTCAAAAGTAAACTGAATGAAGAATTACAGAGAAAGCATTTAGAAGAATCAGTCAACGATGTTTTCATTGTTTTATTAAATAATCCATTGCATTCATTGGAAGATCATGAACCAATGCTTTTGGTTATTGATGCCTTAGATGAAAGCCAAGTTGATGGCAAAAGTGAATTGTTGGAATTGATTGCAGACGAGTTTCACCGACTGCCTAAATGGATTAAAATCTTCATCACCAGTCGTCCAGAACTTCCTGTTCAAACGAAGTTGAAAGACATGAATCCTGTGGAAATTACAACTCATCCTCGCGATAAAAACAACGAAAAAGACCTGCACAAGTATTTGAGACATGAGTTGTATGATCTTGTGCAGAGAAATCCCTATGTTCTTCAGTCATTAGTTGAAAAATGTGAGGGATCATTTCTTTACGCTTATCACGCACAACTGAGCTTAAAGAAAGAAGAAGTTGAGCTTACTTACGAAAACATTCACCAATTGATCCCTAGTGGGTTAAGCGGTGTTTACGCAAAGCAATTCAAAAGAGCAAAAGAATTGTTAACGAAGAAAAGTCCCAGAAATTCTGTTATCTCAGAAGCTACTTTCATGCAATTTCTTGAATTGTTGGCTGCCTGTCGGGAGTTTTTACCATTAACTTTACTTTTTAGCTATTTAGGTTTTTCTGATGACATCAAGTTTGAAGTCCGCAGTAAAATCATTGAACTGTCATCTCAAATTTTGCCAGTTTACCAAGATTGTTTAACCGTGTATCACAAATCTCTCATTGATTGGTTGAAATCAGATGGTTACGAACAGCATGAGTTTACAGTTGATCCAAAAAATGGTCATAAGTTCTTATGGCATGCTTGTGAGAAAGTTTTTGAACAAATCAAGTCGATGAACATTTTTGAAGATCAGATAAACACTGCTATGATTAAATATGCTTTGAAGAATGGAATCTATCATATGTCAAAATGTGGCGAAAATGTTGACTTTAGCTGGGCAGTAGATGTCAAAGTGGTTTGTGCGAGGTTAATGTGTGTGGAAGACATTCACATGTATACCATTGAATCTGAGTTGTTTGAAATCATTAAGGAGTGGCGTACTTTCTTGAAAAAAGATTTACTTGAGGAAGTACTATTTCATTTCTTTATGACAAGAATGGTGTCATTTATGGTTGATGAAAGCTTAATTTATTTACAAATTGTTGCAAACAGAATTCAGGGCATTAACGAAAAAAGATTATTGGCAAGGGATTTATTGAAACAAGGAAAGTTTGTTTGGTTTGAGGATTTAGACTCAACATATTTAACAAACCATCATCATTTGACTGTCTCCTTGCGTGCTAACGTTACATCTCTTTGTGTGTCGTCCAATGAAACACTTCTTGCTGTAGGATATGAAAATGGTCAAATATCTATTTTTGAACTTCCTAAATTTGAGCAACGATGCACTCTAGGCACTGCACTCGATGATTCATGGTTGGATAATAGGGATGATGTATACACATTTATGTCCCTGTGTTACACCTATGACTGGGATATTATATATGATGTAGATGAATTTGAGTCCGTGTATGACTTGTATGACAATTTAATATCAAACAAACTTGCTTTTGTACGTGGAAACATCTGTTGTTGCTCCTTTTCACCTACCGGAAATAGACTGGTAACTAGTGATGAATCTACTGAAGTAAAGTTGTGGGACGTTAACAATGGACGTTTGTTATTATGTTTACAGTCAAATGATGTCGTTAATCATTGCTCTTTCTTAGATTCTGGTTTGTTTATTACAGCAAGATATAATGGAAACTCTTCTAAAGATGTGTTCACTGTATGGAATTCATTAACTTTGCAAAGAATTGATCGACGCTGCGTTGTTGATTACCAAAAACTACAATGCACCGATAAAACCACTTCGTATGTTTTTCAATTCCCAAAGGCAATCGATATATTTTCAAGCGAAAATGAGTATTCACTATCTTTAAATTCAAAGACAACCCACCATTATCGTGATTGTATTTTTTATCATACAAGCAAGAATAGAAAGCTTTCTGAAATCACTCAGTTGACAAAATACAACGAGCAAGAAGAAATCGAGTTTCGTTTATCAAATGTCAGGTGTCCATGTGTTCGTAGGACTCTTAAAAAAGTCCATCCAATCTCGTTTAAGAAATTTTACGTTGTGCCGTATTTTTCCAAGCTTAAAATTTTCAAAACTGATCATCTTTGGAGACCTTCATTTATCTTTGAGAAATTTGAAATTAAATGTTGTTGTTTTTCACCGGATGGATCTTTTTTTGCTGCTTTCGCTGTTGGTGACCACGTCAACATTCATATTTGGAGCATTGAACGTTGCACTATTATTCAAACTGTACCAATACACCTTTGGAATGCAAAAGGATGCTGGTGGTCGGATGGTTTACTGTGGATATGGGATGGCTCTGATCATCTTATGAAGATATCAACTTCATCTGAAAATTTTGTAGTTTCTACTCAAGCAAAGCGTGTTAACATTGGATTTAAACCTAAGAAAATCTTAACATTTGGTGATGTCTTAGTTTGTAAAGACCATAAAGGTTTTGTTCAAGTTGTTAGAATTACCAAAGGTGTGATACAATACAACAAAAGACTTCCTGTCAATAGTTTTGAATTTAAAGCAGCAGCTGTATCACCTGATAATTCTGTTATTTTAACTGCAAACAAAACAGAATACACATTATGGAAATGGGGAAATGACAACAATGAACTTTACTTGGAACCCTGGCACACTGCAGAAATGCCCATAACGTCTTTTGGTGAAGAATTTGATTGGAAACAGAGAAATTTTACTTATCTTAAAGTCAGTTTCTTTATAAGTGATAGTAACCAAGCGGTTATTGCATTCCTGTTTGGAGACAACAATGTCTACCAGAAAACTGGCATTTATGTAATTAATGTGCATAAAAACAATGACGTGAGTACGATTTTGCATAATATCAATGGATCATTACGGTTTCGCACAATCGTACATAAATCATATTTCATTGGTGAATCGTTTGGCAAAATGGTTGCTGTAGATTTAAAGAGTGGTAAAATATGTGCTGAATTTTACCAATTAGGTACTGATTTATTCAATATTAAATTTAATACAACTATTCATTCAAAAACAGCAACTTTAGCTTTAGTAACAAATGGTGGATGCGGAATTAAATTTTTTAAACTCAATCTTCCTGAAAGAATCCACTGATTCAACCTTTGTAATTATATTAATCTAACGTATTTACTAACATTACATATCACTTAAAACCAACATAAAAAGTTCTTTATATCACAAAAGGACAGTTATTTATGGTATCAACAACGAACTCAAAAATATTGCAGAAAAAATTGTCCATATCCTTTGTTTTAACCGTGGAAAAACTGTCAGTTTATGATTATGTAAAAATATCACGGACAGAGAGAGAGATTAGTTTTTGTAATGTCAAGTAAAGATCTTTTTCATCCTATGATTCCCGTCAACTTTCAAATTTATATTTGAAGAGAACAACACTGTAACATTGTCAAAGTTGTGATGAAATTGAGAATATCACGAAGATGTTGATTGTCGTAAGGATGGTCGCTTGTTTTACATGAAATTACCAAAGTGAGAAACCTTTGATCTCTGAACGAACTTTATGATGATGGTTTACTTTTTAATACAAATGTATGGTCAGATAATTTGGTTATTTTTATTATATATTAAACGTTCACTACATAGAAATGAAAGAATGTCGACAACTCATTCATTGTGAGTCATTTGACAATATGGTGTTGTTGTAAATGAAGATTATTTTGTTGAAATTATAGAGTGACTTTCTTTAGACATTCTTTCAAAAACTGTAAATAAAACTTACCTTACGCATGTTAATATCGTGGAAACAACTTTTAAATGGGGTTAAGAATTCACATTTATAAAACACCATCATGATGTCATGTCATGTCATTGGGTTTTATGGTCATTAGTTGAAAAATGTGAGAGATCATTTCTGTACGTTTATTATGTAAATTTGACCTTAAAGTGGTTATATCACGAATTTTAGCCCCTCTTTTTTATTAGCTAAATTGAAAGACCTTGTTTCAGTGATTTAAATCTGCAATTATAATTGGATTGGTGAAAGTGATTTTACGGACGTTCAAAATCACGATTTTCAGCATTTTTGCGAACGTTTTGATCGGTATGCTAATGACTTGTGATAAAAGTTGAACACATATATCAACATGGCGTATTCTACTAGTTATCTTAATAAGAGCGGAGAAACTGCGCATGTTTTAAGCGGACCTAATCAAATTAGTTGCGCCAATGATTCAAAACCCGAAGGAACATCGATGCATCTGTTTCCTAAAGAAACAGAGCCGCCAGAAAATGGTTAAATTTTGTGCGTAAAACATAGACCGGGTTTTGAGGCTTCCTCTACCTCGTGTCTGTGTTCTGCGCATTTGAAGATCTTGTTTGACCTTAATTTAGCGTGTAGTCAGCTCAAAGAGGTCGAAGAAAGATGCTATCCATTGACCCAACCATTGACGTGGCTTGGATTCCTGAACCATTACAGGACGAAATAACCGATCGAAAGCGAAGACAAGTAAGTTTACGCTTGTTTATGTTAATTTTTCTTTTGTCATAAATTCGATATAAGTTTTGTAGATTATTCGGCATACTCTCATAAGCCATCGCTGAAGGAAACATGTTCTCTCAATGAGGAAGTACCATCTACTAGTGATGAAGCTGAGCATGTTTAGAATATGCACTGGGAAACAAACGATTCGCCATTTGAACGGCTTGCTATTTTCCATTTTACATTTATGCTATGATTTAATTCCATATATTTTTCTTTTGTCTTTTTCCCAGACTGACAATGAAAGATATTCCTTCATTTAATTCTTTCAGCTTAACCTCTCAGTAGTTACAATTTGTTTGTTTTTCTTTGTTTCAAACCATTAAACTGCATGTCAATATATAGTGCATCCATGTATCTCCTATTTGGTTTTCATCTAGGCATATTTCCAGCCATTCCAAACTCAACAAAAGAGGTCAACAGTCTCTACAGTGCAAAGTTAAAAGACTATTCCATCATCGCCCCTCTGATGGTATGTAACCTGTTGGATATGCTTTCCGAATAAAATTAGTAAACACAAGCAGGTAAAGGCCGAGTATTCTCCATCCATAGACCCACAAAACCATCGCATCAACCATCTGTATGCCACAGCTCTCAAGTACCTGAAGTAAATCAAGGTTGGACTAATTGTGTTGATGAAACAATGTTGATTATAACATTGTTTCTCATTACAATCTTACATATTTAATGATGTGATGCTTGGCGGCGATAAGCACGTCCATTCCTATCTCTCAATACCGGCCCGACGTTTTCAAGGACAGCCTCATGAACTAAAGGCCCAAATTTGGCATGCTGCATGATATTTTCTCAATGCTGCCATCGATGTCACTTTCTGCAAAGCTGGTCCAATTTCCTTACAGCATCTGTACTCTAATGCGCCTTCTAACAAATCGGTATGACAGCATTGACAATTACACCTGAAACGTGGGACATTCTGGTTTATAAAGTAACTTTATGTATAGTACAAACAGGAGAAAACAACAACACCATTCACCAAATTGGAATTACGCCATCCTTCGTTGTTGTAATGTCGCAGGGAGAATTCTATCGGGATCATCTAGGTATGCATTCATCACATCCTGCTAGCGGTTCATTGTCATATGCGAAGTCGTTTAAATGCTCGACATAAACCACGGATTCCGAGCTCGAATCAGATGCATTCAGACATCAGATTCAAATTATCTGAGCACTGATTTGAGGCCATACTTTCCGGACAACTTGTTTTTAATATTTTATTGAAAATACTGTCATTATTGTTTTAAGACAAGAAAAAACGACAACAAAATCACCTTCTATAATATAGCTATATTGACGGAAACAGACGTGTTCAATATCTACGTCACAAGTATCAATATGGCGTCGTAAAAATTATGAAATAGTACCCGACTTTGGAGGCATAATTAAGCAACTTATATTTATCTGTTTAAGTCCAGCGACGTGTCATAGTTCTTCAAATAATCCAAATTTTCGATTAAGCTCATAAAAAAGGGGGGCTAAAATTTGTGATATAACCACTTTAAAGACAGAAAATGTTTTATACTGTCAACAATTCCCTTATGTAAAAACATCTTGATGACGTTATGGAGTTCACTGACACTTCCTTACAGTCACGTGACTAAATGGAATGGAACATAGAAAGATGGCGGAATTCCAGTGGAATAGTAATTCATAGAGATGCCTTAGTAATGTTTTATTTTCATTCCTTTTGAACTTTTTAAATCATTCAGTCATGCAGAAAAACGTGAAAACAAAGAACGTGCTCCTATCTGGTGCTTTACAAAGAATTCTACTCGATAAAGAAACGAAAAAGTCTCATCATTCACAACTAAAAGAAAGCTTGCGAAAACGGCTTTGGTATAAATCCATAAGTAATGATTGTAGTTGTTGCTGATGTATTTGGATTCTATTGCTCTATATGTTTTTATGCATTGTCAACCAGTTTCTACATTTGCTATCAACAAAACATTAAGTGTAGTAATCTCATTCAAGATGTCAACGAACGCTGTCGATAGTATATCTTAAAATTGCTCAATGTATGATTTGTACTTTTTATACTTGGCAAACAGTTTTTTTTAGTGTCAATCCTTGTTCATGTTCTTCTGCTTGAGTTATATGTATATATGTTTATTTAGAAATCTATGTCAACGTGTACAATATTAATGTATGCTGTGTTCAGGAATGTTGCTTTACAAAATGATCGCTTTATGATTTTGATCTATTCTAGAGAAATAAACGCTGTTCAAGAGTAGAAAGTCTGAAGGGTAAGTTTAGTTGTGTAAAGTTGTCAATTTTCTTTCCAATTTCGAATTTTAACATGACCAAAATGAGTTACTAACCTTGAATTTTAATAAATTCACAGTTATATCCAGACCAGCATGCTCACAAATTTGCTGAGTTTTATTGTTCAAAGTTAGATTTATAAACCAGAATGTTGGTTTGATTTATTTATAATAAAATCTTCAGGAATATTTCTTCTGCAACTCTACCTCACTACCTGGTCAGAACATTCATTACATCAGATCAATATTTTCTTCCTTTTGAGTTGGCTTGTTAAACAAAATTGGATTATGTCACCATTGCATGACTGTATACAAGTAAGTTGTTTTTGTTTGATGTGTTAGGACACTTGGAGTCTTTAGTTGTAAGAAATAGATGTAATATTGTAAACTCTTTCATCGCATTGCTATTAAGTTATTACAATTTTATAGCACAAAATAAGTTCTTGCAGTATTTTCTTTTGTTAGTTACCTCGTAAATTTCTCTTAGAAATTGTCAATATTGCTATCCTTATGTATTAACAGTACTCATCCCCAAGCCTCACAACTTCACATGTGTCTTTTCACAACATTCTTTGTTCTATCTATCAACTGTACTCATCCCCAAGCCTCACAACTTCACATGTGTCTTTCACAACCATTCTTTATTCCTCTATCAGCAGTACTCATTTTCCAAGCCTCCCTTCACATGTGTCTTTTCACAACTATTCTATATTCCTCTATTAACATTACTCATCCACCGTCCAACTTCACATGTTTCTTTCCTCCATTCTTTATTCCTCTATCAACATTCCATCCCCAAACTCCACAACTTCACACATATGCACTACAGCCATTCTTTATTCCTCTATCAACAGTACTCATCCCCAAGCCCCACAACTTCACATGTGTCTTTTCAAAACCATTCTTTATTCCTCTATCAACAGTACTCATCCCCAAGCCTCACAACTTTACATGTGTCTTTTCACAACAATTCTTTATTCCTCTATCAACATTACTCATCCACAAGCCTCACAACTTCACATGTGTCTTTTCACAACCATTCTTTATTCCTCTATCAACAGTACTTATCCCCAAGCCTCACAACTTCACATGTGTCTTTTCATAACCATTCTTTATTCCTCTATCAACAGTACTCATCCCCAAGCCTTACAACTTCACATGTGTTCTTAGAAACTTCACATGTGTTCTTAGATTCTTTGTTCTTAGAAACTCATTGCTTATGGTCATGTGTTCGCGATACACCAGACTCCATTAAACCAGAGGGCGTTTAATTGACAGAATTATCGGACTATTTCTATTTGCTACTGGTATAAATACTGATGAAACGTTCAAATACAAATTATAAAGGTATTTATAAAAGTAATGTCCTACTGTTAAAGTATATAATGAGAGAAATGATATATCCTTGAGAAATTTAAAGAGGGTAATGTCATATGTATCCAGTGTGCGAGTTAATGGTGTGCAATGTGCAATTTGCATTCTCTAGATTCTCTTGTTCATATCTATGCCACTCGGAAAGGACTGGAACGTAGTCTATTCTTATGAAAAGGACTGGATACTAGTCTATCAACATGAAAAAACTGGAGCACAGTCTATCAACATAAAAAGGAACCTGTCTCTACTATTTTGTGCTGACAATGTTGATTATAATACATGTTTTATCACGTTTTTATATGATTAGTATCAATGTCGTCTTATTTTTCTATAATTTTTTCAGGTTCAAGAACCCAGTATTCGTATCAAAGGTCTGGAATGTCTTGTTTCTATTCTTAAATGTATGGTTGAATGAAGTAGGGATCTTTACTTTAAACCTGGTTCTCAGGTGGACGATAATTTTGGTGAGTTTTAACGTCTTTATGAAACTGAAGAAACTCGGATGTAGCGAGTATAAACTTAATATTGTTATACATTTCGATAAGTTATCGCTTTATGATCTATTGTACCCCTCTTTTGATATCGGCTACACTGAAGAATTTTTGTTTCCATCAAGATTCCATCTTTCTATATCTATCCCTATTTATCGAGGAATACTCCATTATTTTCTTATACACGTTAATGTTCTTAATCAACTAGTTGTTCGACAATTGTAGTTAACCTCTCAGGATCTAAGTTATCCCTTAGTTATCTTTTTTTACCTTGCTGGTCTCACTTGGTGGATCAAACATATCTTAATGTTTATGGTTACTCATTATTGACCCATGCTGCCCTCAATGTTCTAGTCTATCTCTCAATAATGCTATCTTTATCGATCGTCTAGGCTATCTGTTAATAGTAAGGACTTTATTTGAAGGGGACACGTAACAGCTGAAAAGCTGACAAACCTGTGGCCCCTAACTAGATTATACAATATTACAAAACTGATAAATGAATAAATATATAAATAATTACAAAATTCTATGATAAAATAGCAGGACATATAAAAATATTCAGAAGATAAAATTAATTTATAAAAATTAAAATTAGATAATGTGCTATTTCTTAATACTGTTTCAAAGGTTGTCCAGTTTTATATAAGAGCTTATAAAATGCTTTTTCACAGCTGTTTTGAATAGTTTATACTAGGCTTTTTCTTGATATCATGGGAGGCTGTTCCATAACTTAACTGCGTCAACACTGAATGCCTTGCACCATCGTTATTTCTTAGGTATTTGGGACACACTAAATTTAATTGCTGTCTGGTAGACCTATTGTGTACAGAACTGTTCGTCTTGAGCAAATCTGGTGTAGTAGACACTCACATTTGAGGCTCTTAAATTCATGGTACATTTGTTTAGTTTAATTTCGTCAAAAAAGGCAACCAGCCTAGTTTACTAAATTTACAACACTTCTAGAATAAGGGTCTACTCCAAAAGATTACTCAGGCAGCCCTTTTCTGTAACCTTAGGAGACAATTGGAGTTCTTTTAACGTCATAGGTATTCCAAACCATGCTCCCGTTACATAAGGACGGGTTTAATCAAACGTTATAGTATAAAGTCTTTCTTTTTGGGAGGAATATCTCTTTATCTTTTCAATAAATAATACGCTGAGAAAGCTTGGCCTAGGCTAGAAATGTGGTCACTAAATGTAAGATCTTGATCGAGTGTGTTACACCAAGCAATTTATAGAAGTTACTTACATTTCGGCCCCATCAATGGTCACTGACAGGTGATTGCCATCAACTAATGATGAATGTAGCCTCTTTCCCGTGATAAGTAATGCTTTGGTTTTAGGACCATCCCATTGCTAGATCATTTACTTAATTTATCCGTATTCTTGAGACGTCGTTCCAATTCCAAGGTGCATTATCGATATTAGCGCTGGCTTTAAATGTGGTGTCATCCGCGTAAGCATGAATAGTTGAGTCCGATCCAACAGCTTGGGAAGATCATTGACGAAATTAAAACAGTAGAGGTCCTATGCTGCTACATGAGACTCCATTGGTTAGCATAAGTTGTGACGAAGTCAGTTTACAGTGACACTGTTTGATTGAGTGAATAGCTTTGCAATAGCTTTACAACATTATCTGGGAATCCATATGATCTTAACTACTAGGAGAATGTCATGATTGATCAAGTCAATGCTTGCTATAGTCCACAAGACTAAGCCGCTGACATTGTTCTTATCAAGGTCGAAGGACTTGGTCCAGAAGAAACAATAAAACGAAGTATCGTGGAGTGGTTTTTACGGAACCCTGATTGGAAGCGGTATAAAAGTGCATTTTCTGTTAAGTAGGTGTTCATTGCATTGAAGATGTGTCTTTCAAAGACTTTAGAAAGAATAGGCAAAATACTGATAGGACGATAGTTTTGAATTTCTTACTTGTTCCTTGATTCTTGAATAGTGGTTTAACCTTTGCTATTTTTCATTGTTGAAATGTACAAGTTTCAATACAATTTATAATTTGCTATGGACATGATATTTGGAGCTGCAATCTTTACAGAACTCTGGCACCAAGCCCATCGATTCCCGTGGCTTTGTGTGTAGGTATACAGAAGATAATCTCTAACCTCACAAGGAGTTATTTGCGGAATAAGATTCTCAATTTGACTGTTAGATTTGTCTGGTGGACCAGGAAGAGCATCATAATGAAATTATAGGTGCCCTTTTATAAGACGTTTATATACATCAGCGAAAAGCGGTTAAAGCGTTCAGCGATTGAATGGTCATCCTTTATCAGGTTGTTGTTTTCGTCAGCAATAGGGACGGAGTCGTCATTGTTCCTTGTTATCTTTAAATAGGTCTTTAATTAAAGAATAAAGTTTCTTTAGACAGCTTTAACTGAATTGAGTTTAAAGTGCTGTTCCTTCATTTCTTAGTTTCCTCATCATCTTGTTTTTAATCAGTTTAAAATAAGACCAATCTTGTTCATTTTGCATTTCCTGGCCCTCTTTAGAAGATTTTCGCGTTTATTTATTTCGTTGTATAGATCATTAGTGAACCATTTC